AGGGCGAGGGAGGGAACAGCCAGGCGATGACATGCTCTGCCCCACCTGTAGATGCTGCTGCTGCTGCTGCTGCTGCTGCTGCCGCCGCCATCCCACGTCCATGTTTGCTGGATGCTGGTCGGTATCCCATGTCAAGACCAGTACCTGCGCGGGCAGTTCTTCCTCTTTGTGTGTCTCCGTCTCCGATCTTGTCCGTAGTCTGGGACAGCACGCAGTATCCTTTGCCCGAACAGACGAAGAGATGCGGTGCGCGATACCAACCGAGGCAGGCGATGGATGAGATGGCTGCAACGCGAAACGAGGCTTTTCGATTTCGATCCGATGCGAAAGTGAGACCTGTCTGCCCTCTTGTCTGGCCGCTGGCTTTCGTCACCGCGCAGGCTCTAGCCTCCGGGAGGCACGGCGTGTAATCCCGTCCCAAGATTGTCTGTCGTCGGATACGGCGAGACCAGCAACGTGTAGAGTGATGACTGTGCGGCTGTTGCGTGGGTTGGTGCGGGCTGAACTCTATCTCGAACGGGATTGCGGGGGAAGTGGCGTGGATGGCCTGGATTCTGGGAAAACAGCTCGAGGAGAGGAGGCATGATCACAAGCCATCGAATCGAAGCTGCTGGATGGAGTAACAAAACCCGGGGGAACTGCGAGAAACTCAAAATCAAGGGGGATGCGCTCCGGTTGACTTCTTGTTCTTACTCGCTTTCCCAACCCCCATTTGCTTGTGATTTTGTCTTTCTCTGTCTCTCGCTGAGGCCATCGTGTACTGTTGTCGCCATACCTTGCCTCTTTGGTGTGCACCAGGCACCGCTTGCCCTCACTCAGAACCAGACGGACAATGGGCTGGACGCGCCTTCAGAACTGCGAGTGGCAGATGGCGGGAGATCCAAGGTGGTCCCAAGTCCAGGGGTGGCCGGTCGGTCGGTGGGGAACATGTGAAGAACGACCACACGACATTGACGGAATTCCCGTTTTCGAACCTGCCTTGTTTCCCCACACAGGCATTCTGGCGCTGGGGGCGTGGCGGCCGTCGTCGACTTTGCGCGCTCGTCGCTTGTTTTCCGACTGCTCAATGACATCGGCATAATCCCGTGGGTGGTGGACGTGGACGTGCCTGGTGCTTGGGCGAAAAGATGCGGAAAATGTCGGGATAGAGATTTCCCAGTCCCCAATCTTCCCATCCCACTTATCGCCGCCTCTCCATGGGCTTGGACCCGCCCGAGTCCCATGGAGACTGGAGTTTTTTTTCCCAGTCGTGCTCTTAGGCCAAGCGCGCGCAGGGCTTCCCGTTGCCTTTTCGCTCCAGGCTCGGAATACCTTCGGGATGAGAATGTCCCGGGGCGGGTAACACAGAATGATGATCAGATAGGACCACTCTCTTCTGATCTGGGGGCCAGAATCGCGCAATCTCGTGAGATGGGCGAAACAAACTGGAACAGAGTAAAAAAATTGTTCTTTCTTTCTTCTGCCTTGGTGCCTTGGCTTGCTTTCAGTCACCCGTAATAGCAGTGTTGCGATTCGCATGTGCAGCGCAGCATCCGGAAGCTGTCGCTCCAGCATCCAGCCGAACCGAAATGCGTAACCTCGTTTGGAAGCCGTCCAGATGCGTCTCGGATGGGATGCATCACCACCGCTCGTTAGGAAGGTTCTTCTCAGACCAATCCTTGGAGACATGCAGAGCTGGTCCGCTACTTCCTGGTAGACCGCAAGCGTTGTTATTGGTAATAACGCAACTGCGGTCTCTGTTGATGGCCTCAGAGATTCACTAGCTCGCCCTCGCCTGGTCGACTACGCACACGGGGGGAAGGTCGGGCGTCGAAAGATATGCCCAAGCTTGCCGTGGCCAGAAAAGCATGGCAAGTGTGTGTGGATGGTGTCTTGCCTTTCCTGCCTGGGCGCATGCACTTGCATCTTGTGCACGAGTCGCGGCAGGCTGGTGTCGTTCCCCGTCTGCAGCTGTTGATGGCTGTCTGTCATCACGCTGTCAGCCGTCCCGTCAATCCAAAAGCTTGGCCTTCTCAAGCGGCACTCGAGGACGTGTGTATGATGCGGCACTGCCCAAGTGGCCAGGCGGTGTCCCTGCGGGTATGTTTTGATCCAGCAACTCAAAAAAGAGAGTTGGCAGGAATCGAACGAGGGAGGCCAACTATCCGTCCGGCTTTGCAATTGAGCGAGGAATTTGCCCGAGATCACCGAGGGGCACCTTGCTCCCAGGAACATCGAAATTGAACTCGACCCGCCAGTCCACAGTCCGCCTGGAATTTCTCAATTGGCCGCGATTAATCCGGAGCCACCTCACCGACGGGGGGCTCCTCCAGGAGTCCAGTCGCCCGCCTCCAGGGTCCAAACCAACGGGGACTTCACCGAGCCGGGGTTGGGTTCTTCGGGCGGACGGCGAGCGCTTGATTCACCTCGGCCGGCTCCATCCTGTTGTCGTCTTTCTGCTCGATATTTCCGCCGTCGCCTGCACGGATACCTGTAGTGTAGTCCTTGACGGATACCGACCCATCTGGCCACCTGCCGAGGCGGTCGATGGGACCAGCAGCGCTGTCGCACAATCTCTGCGTCCGTATCCGGTCATTACAGGAGAAGCGTCATGGAAGAAATGAGAGACGGACGATGGTGCCAGACTCAGAGTGATAGAACTGTAACAGTAGCCCAGGGAGAGAAGCTAATCCAGGGTCCATTTACAGCGCCGCAAACCCGCTGCTAAGGTAGCAAGACATGCAGTCGTCTGCAGGTGCAAGCAAGCCTTCCAAGCACACAACAGCTTAACCAGACCACTCCACGAACGGGAATCCCTTTCCAACCGGGGGTGCATGATGCCAGCCCGGATCGCTTCATCAAAGAATCTCTGTCCTTTGCATGGCACCAGCGCCATTCAAGCAAACTCGTGCCACACTAGCAGTCCAGGCTATCCAGCGGCTCCCGTCTCGCACCACCCGACCCCTCAAATGCGCCGAGAAAGAAGGAAACTCAGATATCCTCTTATCTCGCATGGGGACGCGATAAATTACTCCGGGCGGCAGATGGGCGGTGAAGAAAAGAAGCGCAACGCGACAATCTGCAATTCTCTCGCTGCTGCTGCATGGTCGTTTCCGTTCCGAGACTCCACCGACCAACGGACGCCCCGGCCCTGCCAGCAGCAAATGCAAGTGAACCCGTAGCCTTCGCAGTAAGGTACGCACTAAGGAACCCAGGTTGGCAACGTAGCTCCGACCAACCAACGAGTTTCCTGCTCCTCGCTCCTCCCACGGACCAACAAGGAGACAACACCACGCCGGGGGCAGGACGAGAAAAAAAAAAAAAAAGGGAGCAGCACGCGAGACGCGGCCAGCACGAGAATCGATACGAAACCCGAGGACCCCTCCTTCGACGCTACGTACCTTACAGCGTATCCTGACAATCTCATCTCCAGCCTGGGGCAGCTCCGTCGTCCGGACCAGAGCTCCGCCTCCCTCATCGCCGCGCGCGCGCCCTCACCCCTCCATTCTCGGCCTTGCACACAACCCCTCCTCGCCGCCCCCCTCCGCCGTCCTCCCCGGCGCGACACCGCAGCCATGCCGGAACATCCTCCGAGGAGCTTGTTTGATGTCCCCGCCCCGATCGCCGCCCTCTTTCGCCGCTTCCCGCTCATCACCCTGCCCCCGAACGACCTCCCCATCCGCTCCCCTCCCCGCGGCGACATCCCAATCCTCTACGTCTTCACCACGGACGACGATGCCCCGAGGGGCCGACCGAGCTTCAACCCCTCGTGTCTAAAGTGGCAGGTCAGTCCGAAGCATCACCTGCATTCTCCCCTCCCGTCCGAGGCCACCCAGCTAACCCTAGCCTTCTTCCATCCAGACCTTCCTCAAGATAGCAGGCGTACACTTCCGCACCTGCCCCTCCACAAACCACGCCTCCCCCTCCGGCGCCCTGCCCTACCTCCAACCCTCGATACCCTCCCGCCCCGTCAGCGCCGGCTCCAGACTCGAGACCTGGGCTCTCTCCCAGAACCCCTCCTCAAAACAACCGCCCCCGCCTCCAGCAAGCCGCCTCCAAGCCTACGAAGCCCTCCTCGACGCCCGCATCCGCACCGCCTGGCTCCACGCCCTCTACCTCTCCCCGGCCAACGCGCCCCTCCTCTCCCGCCTCTACATCGACTCGGCCTCCACCAACGCCATCGTCCGCCTCACGCTGCGGCACCAGACCACCTCCGCCGCCGAGGCCCTCGTCCTGAGGACGACGCGGACCGCCGTGGTCGACCCGTCGCGGATATACGCCGACGCGCGCGACGCGTTCGAGGCGCTGGCCACCTTACTGGACGAGAGCGGCAGCGGCGGCACGGGGTGGTTCTTTGGCGCCGAGGAGCCGACGCTGTTCGACGCCTCCGTCTTTGCGTATACCCATCTGCTGCTCGACGAGCAGTTCGGCTGGGTCGACCGCAGGCTGGTGGAGCTCGTGAAGGAGTTTCCTGCTCTCGTGAAGCATCGGAAGAGGTTGCTGAAGATGTGCTTCCCTGAAGAAGCGTAGAGAGAAGGAGACTAGGAAGCTTGTATTATATCTAGAGCCCACAAAAGGGGCGTGTAGATTACATGACTGAAACGATACCAGCATGTCAGACCAGGATAGAATCTCACCCACGAGCAGGCGCCACCATGCGAGTCACACTGGGCATCAGCTATGTCACTCCAGCGCTGGCGGGACGGGCGAGACATATGAACAGTAGTAGCATGTCCATTTGAGCGGCGGCGACATACGCCCCAACTGAAGACCTATGTAAACTACCCATCCGTCGCATCAGCCAATGCAAGAATCCTCAAGAGCCGACTGTCAAAAGTCACCACCCCCCCACCAAGACGAAGCCTGACGCCAATAATATGAATATAAGAAAAGTAGTGGAGTGGCAGAAGACACGGCATTCTAAAAAGTGCGCAAGAATAATGGAATACCATCTATGATGTCCCGATAAGCCTAGAAGCCCGCTGTTTGCTGGTTGGCTGGTCACAGGGTTGCCTTCCCTATTAGGGAGACTTCGGGATATCTTCGATGACGTCCTGTAACGATACGAAGGCGCCTGGTCCGCCGTTTTCTCGCAAGTCGTCCAGCAGAACGCTCGTTTGAGCGTAGACCTTTTCGAGAGCAGCCCGAGATGACTTGCCCAATGACACTACGTAACGGGTTAGTTGAAGTACGAGGCGGCGGAATCATACATGCTCACAAAGGATCGCAGAGTTGAGTTCCTCTGCTACTGCTATGCGACCTTTCCTGTCAAGGAGATGGGCAACATCCTTCTCCAATAAGGGATTGCTGTATGCGAGCAACGAGTAGATGTCTTGCAAGTGTTTCGATACCTCTCGTCGCGGGTCATTCTTGAACTCCGCCTGGAGAGTCTGGCCGTACTGCAAGGTGGCCAGCTCCAGTTCGTCAATGCCGAGAGGCGCGCCGCCCTCAGAATCTTCGGTGTCCATCTGGTCCCACGCGCCATTCTCGGCGCCGTTGGCATCGAGGTCCATCGCTGAAGCACTAAGGTCAACGCCGCCGGAGTGCCCATTGCTTTTCTTGCCCTCCGCAGCCGCCCTCAGCTCCGCGCCGGATCGGACCATTTCGATGAACTTGCGACAACGTAATTTGAAGTAGACCTGCTCGTTGTCTTTGAGAACCTGGGGATACGAAGCGTTGGTGTACTTAAGTGCCCTGTCGATGTCGCCCTCCAGCACAGCTCTTCGGATGCCTGCGTTTTGTTAGCCTGAGACAAGCAAGACTATCCCAACCAACTTACGTTGCCGCTTGTTAGCATGCTCGTCATCTTTGACATTAATTCCCTCGATGGGGGCATTCGGATCGAGACTCAGCGCCTTTTTCTCGGCGTTAATCTCCTCTGCAAATGCTCTCGCCGTTTCCACATAGCCATCATGCTGTAAAAATTGAAGTACCTGTCTCTTTGTAAGACGCTGTTCCGTTGAGCTGGCCATACATGAACCTACCAGGGCTTGGATCAGCTCCGTTTCGTTCATTGACGGCGCAAGACTCAATGTGCTCGTCTCGGCGATTTCTTTTTGAACTCGTGCCTTTTCCGCCTGAAGAGTCGAAAGGTTAGCAAATGGCATGACAAACATCTTGTAAGTACAACCCGTGCATCCTTTGCAAATCGACAAACATATATAAAAGTATGCTCTCCAACGAAGGGGCCCAACGACAAGCGCACACCGAACACTGGAAGGCACGCAAGACAGGCAGCAAAACGCTACGCTTGACTCCGGAAGTCCAGTTCTGTGACACAACAAGATCGAAGAAACTTACAGTCATCATTCCCTCAATGTCAAAAACAAAGGGGCTTCGGCCAAAGTTGACTCGCACGTGCTCTCCTGACTTCTTGAGCCCAACTGTGGGGTAGAGGTTATTTCCCTTTCCGATTTCGCGGAACGCCGTGCCTAGTAACACCATGTCAGTCGAATACAACTTCGGGGACTGGACTTTGCCAAGGGAGCTCGTACCGAGAATATGTCCGTTCTTTGTGAAAAAGGCACAGCCCGTTCGGAAGTTAATACCGCATCCGATCACGTCCGACGCGGTGAATGGCGGGCCGTAGGCTTTACCGCCATTCTGCCCGGCGTAACAGTGACCGTCGTCGCTGTGGTAGCCCCAGGAGTCCGGTTCCCAACCCGGAGGCCGCGAGAGCGCTACCGTCTTCGCCGAGAAGCCGATACCGATCGTCATACTGGAGGCTGTCGTCAGTTACCTGTTGATGTTCGCCATCGTTTGTGTCACCTACTCGTCTCGCTTTCCTGATAGAATCTGAACTTCAAAGTAGTAGATACCGCATTGTGGTGGCATATGATAGTCGGCCCGTATACTGTAAGCCTCGTGGTCGCGTTCCGTTTGTCCCCTCGGTCCGATATACCTGACCTCCAACCCGTCCGACAGAATGTCCAAAGCTCCGTATTTATCGTCTCGGTTCCACCTCGTTGGCAGCGGGGTAAACGACTCGTCCTCCTCAAACGCGGGCGGCTTCTCAATCACGTCATAGTTCACGCCGCGATGTGAAGCCGGTTTGCCGTGAAGACTGACGCTGCTGGCGCTCGTGGTCAGGTTTCCAGCACCCTGCACCTGGGCTGCCTGAGACTCTTTCTGCGCCTGCAACTTCGCCCAGTGCGCATCCTCTAGCCTCTGTACGTACGTTGAACCAGCCAGGTATGAGGGGACAAAGAACCCACTCCCATGCCCATTTGCGACACCTGATGAATCACCTGCCGGGGCCGACATGAACATATCAAAGACCCTCGAGAAGGAGGGAGCTTGCTGACCCTGCGAATACCGCGCGGACGCCCCGTTGAGGCTGGCGCCGTTCCTGTCCCCATCCATGTCGCCGCCCCTGTTCGAGTCGTAGCTGCTCGCGGTGGCTTCGAAGGTGATGTCGTCGGAGGAGTTTAGAATCTGAGAGATGACCGAGGTCCGTCCGGGATGGGAGAGGTAAGGTGGGTTAAGGGTGGGGGGTGCTCCAGAAGCGACCGAGGCGTAGGAGAAGCGTCGTGGGAGTAGATCAGAGCTGGTGATAGGCGTGTTGGAGTCTGTATAATGCGAAGAACCATGGAACGGGTTCGTCATGGTGGAGGGGTCGGGGATCGTGGGGGAAGGCGGCGGCGGCGAGCTCGGCGCACCTGTCACGTTCTAGGAGCTTCGCAAAGCCCCGAGAAGCCGCAACCCGAGCTTCACGGAATGACTAGGCAGGTCTGTCGAGCCTGTGGGGGATGGATCTGTTCGAATGGGCGGTATGAGATGAGCCAGGCAATCGGGCAGGTCTGGTAAAACGGGAGCTCGTCGGAGCGTCGAACCAGCAATCGGGTTCGGAATGGCGTGCTGAGACGGATACAGATCGGTTCGCACTATTACGATGTTGGTGTGTTTGAGGGTGGCCACGGAAGCAGCCTCGACAGAATCAAAGTATATTTGGCTCTACCAAAAGATCTGGAAGTGCACGGCAGAGGGTGCACTCGTCAGTGCAGAGGTGGCAGCGTAGTGCAGCTCGTTTATCGCGGCGATGACAGTGAAGTGGTTGAGTGGGAATCTCCGCACCTGGCAGGCAAGAGGTGAGGTGTGGTGAGGTAAAAGGCAAGGCAAGGTACCTTGGGTGCTTGGTAGGGACGGGTGGTGAGTTGCATCCTCCCAGCGCCCGGACAACTGATTCGCTGCTGGGCTTGGCCCGTCCTGAGCGTCCGCTAAATAATCACAAGAGCAGGTCATTGTTCGAGCCTAGTCGACCAGTTGAGGCGCCAAACGGGACCAGTCACAGCAGTCCCCCTACTGCAGCCAGTGCTGTCCAGGGATTCCTAGTGCAAGAGGTTGAGACCGTGCTATCGGCATCGGCAGCTCATCGCACTGTACTTACGTATGGCCAGATGGGATGTAAAGCCCCTTGGACTCCCTCCTGGTGGAGAGATTGGGCCGGCATACACGTGTCCAGCGCGACGGTGTCCATGCTTAGGGTTGTTTTGGCAAAACTCGTCCTCGAGAACAAAGATCGCATGAAGGGTGAGACGTCTGGACAAACATCAAAGAGAAGGGGAAGTGCTGTCATCACATAGTGTAGCACCTGGATCTGGCACTGTAACTTAGGTAATCATGGTGCCCACCTTGGTCCGGGGCTCTGGCAGCCCAGCCCCCTTGGTGCTTAGGTAATGATCCGACCCGTCACCAACGTTCAACGTTCCAGCCTCTCTCCATCGCAATGAGGCAAACGCGCTCGATGGGGGAATAATGACAGGAGGGTACCAATGCTTTTTTGACAGTGGGTTTCCACAGCCCTTTGGGCGCTGATGAACCACAACACCGACCACCACGGTACCCCAAAGAGCCATCACCCGCCGCTTTCCATCAGTTTGTCGTTCCTTTTGGATGCGCTCGATGCAAATAATCTTGCGACGAGATTATCCTGTATGACGGGTCAGAGCTGAGCTGGATGCATATTCCAGACTCAGACGGACGGCTTATCGTACAAACCTTTCAATCGCCAAATAACTCGCCTGCCGTGTACGCACCACCCTCCACCCTCATGATTCAATCTCCTCTGGAGTGGGACGCTTCTGTCGCCGAGGCTTTCGGCACTAACACCCGGCTCTTTTCGGCCATGCCAACGCAATTCATGCATACGACTTCAATGCCATTGGGGCTTCAGTTTGAAAAGTCCGTCAATTCTACCACCCGACGGGAGGCTCTTCGTGCATGCGCAAACTTCATAGTGTACACTTTGTGTCTGTCCATAAGAACGCCTTCCCCTTGGTAGCTACCGCGCTGAACCAATGTTCCGAATCCCATGAACGCCAGCGGACTAATGCCGCACACAAGGGCTAATCCAATTCTGAAAACTCCTGGCAAACGTGCCTAACAGATGATGTCCGTCTCCGTACCTTTTTTCCCTTGCCCATGAAACTCCAAGCCTCTGTGTACATGCAGTGTACATGCACGGGATACTCTCAACGTGTCTCTGCCTAAGTGATGAAATGGAATAAAAGTGTACATCCATCGGCGGTCGATCACGCGGCAGATATGGCCATCGGCGCGGGGGAGCTGGCGGGAACACTGCCGGGCGCGCTCCGTACTTCGGCCTCGACGCCGCTGTTGACAGCGCTGTTGGCGTCGCTCTTTACTTGCTCGTTCTCCTTGTTTTCCTTGGTGCTGCTGTCTGCTGAGGCAGCAGCCGATCCTTCGGCAGTGGACTCGAGCAAAAGCTTAGGAGGCGCGGTCCAACGGGGAACCTCCCAGACGATGCCAGTGAAGCTCTTGAGGACGAAGCCACCCTTTGCCCATTTGCGACACGGCTTGCCCGACCGGTCAAGAGCACGTAGTCCAGCGTTGATAGCTCCCTGGTTCGCCTTGGGGCCGAGCTTGTGTCCTGCGGCTCCCGACCGGGCATTCGGATCGATCGTGCCGTCCTCCCTGCAAACACGTAAGTATGCGTCAACGCAAATGCATGGTAGAGATGTCACGTACAGTCTGGCTTTCTTCTTAGGTCCAGGCTTGCCACGAACCTTGGGCAAGCCGTCTGGTCCAAGACCGTTGGCAGCACCGGCACCGCGTTTGGTGCCCTTCTTCTTGCCTTCGAGAGGAGGTCCCATGGACGTGGGAGCTGGTGTTCCACCTGCAGCAGGGGTCGCGGGGTTGGAGTCGGAGGCATTCTCGCCGTTCGTGGCAGCGGGAGCAGCCAGGGTCGCGGAGGTGGCAGGAGAGTCCTGTGATTCTTGGTTCTCCTTTGGCTCGCTGGTCTCGTCGACGTCCATCTTGACGGGGGACTCCTCCTTGGCGGGTGTGGGCTCAAGGATTTCCTTCAATCTGTCGGCGCTGACCGTAAGGGTGATGATGAGGCCGCCCTTGCCTCCGGTCGACTTACGTCGAACACCTATTGTGGATGACATTTCGATAAATGTGGTGTTGAGTGATGAGTGGGATGGTCAGGCGTGATGATTAGACGTGTAGAAATGGTGGTGACGAAGGAAAGTTCGAAGGGGAGGCGACGGGGAGCTGTAGAAGTAGAAGGGTTGGCTTTGTCGGGGATACAGCTGCTTTGATCAACAGGGTGGCGGTCGAGCCGGTCATCCAATGGCCACGGTTAGGTTGTGATCTGGCTTGTGGGTAGGGGGATGGGATTGGCAAGGTTTTTTGGGCGTTGGGTGCGGTGCGGTGCGGTGCGTTGCGTTGCGTTTCCGGTGAGGTGCGGATTTCGCAGGCAGACAGGCAGATTATTCTGGCGTCGGCGACTCGCAGGTCAGGGTTCCGGGTCGGGCGGCGGCGAGGTGGTGATGGTTTGCAGCGACGACGATGCGATGGATGGAATGGGAGGATGGGTGGGAAGTCTGATGGGGGACAGGAGAGAATTTTTATTTTATGGGGGAATCCATCTGGTAAGTTTGGCGTCTCATTTTCGAGAGAGCGCCAGACCAGGCGGCGTGACAATAAACGGTTCTCATGCTGGGTTGGGTGCTGGGTGCGTGGTGCGTGGTGCTGGGCTCTCGCTCTCTCACTCTCCGTCAAGAATTGACCTCCAGCTTTCGCTTCCTCTCGCGCGCAGCAGCAGCCAGCGCCGCAGTTGTGGGTAAGCGAGAGCCTGGGACCTGGGGGGGCCGTGGTAGGTCCGGAAAGGGATGCACGGGTGGGGTTCTCCCCCTTCCAGAAGTACAGGGGTACAAGGCCAATCTTGCTATTTACGCGCAGAAGGAGCTGCATCACGCAGGGCTTCGCGCAGCGCGCAGCATCGACGGCCAAGTACCTTCCCGCACAGGAGGTACTTCGCACCGAGGTGAAGGGTGAAGGGTGAGCGTGAGAGGTGCCAGTTAATCAAAGGATACGTACCGCGGCACCCTCCGCTTCCGCCGCCGGCCTCAATACTATCATTCTCAGTATTCGTACCTTTTCGTAGCAACGAGAGCATCCATCTCATCCACCAAGGATGCATCAGGTCTTGGGGCTTGCTTGCTTGCTTCACTGAACTCAGCGAGTAGCGGCCCAGGAAGCCACGGAAGCTTACCTTTTCCTCCTCTTCATCCATCCCCCTTCTCTTCAGTCGTCCGAAGCGTCATCTCTTGGTCTCCCGCCCTTCTTGCCCCGAGCCAGTCGCTTGTCTCTCATTCATCTTGACCGATGCTCCATGCTCCATGCCGTGCCTCAGGCAATACCTTAATTCGCGAGATACCCTCTGCATCCCGCCCTCAGCAGCAGCAGCATTTCATCCAGTCTGCCCTACATCCATTGTCAGGGCGAGGGCGAAACACTTCGACACCTCGCGACAAGGCCCAGCTGTCTCTTACCCCTTCAGGCATGGCTTGACTCGAAAAATGGCGATAGCACGCTACATTTCACACTCTCCACAACAACCTCGCGGGACACCGGACGATGATCCATGGCCCTTTCAGACTTTATGTACAGCGACTTATTTCCCTCAGGGTCATGACACGCTGTGACGACAAAGACCCGGCACGCCTGCAACCATGGAGGACGACCAGAAAAATAAATATACGGGCCACGCACTAATGCCTCGACCGCCTTACTCACCGCGATGCACCATGAGCAAGATGCACTCCAATCTCACAAGACGTGTACTCAATGTCAGCCAGGAACGGGGCTGGCGATGACAAACAATCACTGGGGAAAAGCTGCCGCTGTGGTCGATTTTTTCGGACGCACCCGCAGAAAGTTGCGGCGGGATCAATGGGTTCGGATACTCGGTCGGCGAGGATCAAGGGGATAACACTCTGGTCTCAAGCTAACACATCACCATGATCCAGCGGCTCAGGACGCTTGGCTGGCGCACTCCAGCACTTTCTTTGGAGCAGCCTGGAACCTTGAATTGGTGATGCCCACTACAGGCTTCCATTTCAGCCTGGAATCCCCTTGAACACACAACCCGGGGAGGTGAACTTTGGGCGTTTAAAGCCTGCGTCTACCATCATTCACCCTCCAGGTCGCAATTCCTCCCATTGCATGACCAAGGAAGGCATGGACGGCCGAGGAACCGTTGGGAGAATGATAGCAACCTGCATCAACCTTCCCAACCAACCGGTCCTGAGTCCTGAAAACGGGGTAGGCGCCGATTCAGCAAGATCATCTACGAGCAGGGAGAAGCCGGGTCGGACACACACAGTGAAGTGAATGACCAACTTCGAGCGGACATCAACCAAGCCCGGGTTGGAACATCGTGGGCTCGCTGATGGGGGCGTCGGGGCGGCCAAAGAACCATCGTAATCTGCCTTCCCTGCACCCGTCATTTGCATCACCACTCCTTGCAATTTACAACATCTTCTCTCGCGAAACTCGAAGGGACAGAGTACTGTCTGTCGGCATGTTCAAAGACTTTCGCCTACCTTTACCGACATATCAAGAGCACCGGCATCGAAGATGACCTCGCGGCCAGCCGGCACCCATTGTTGGGAATGGGAGCCCTAAACGCCGTTGAAAGGGGCTGGGCTGCCAAACCTCCCGCATTTGCCGTGGTCACACTTCCCTGTCAGATGGATACAAAAAAATGCTTTCACCCCCAACTCCAATCCCACTTGACGAGAGCCAATCGAACTCCCGAGGGTCAAACATCCCAACCGGACACCAACAGAAAATGGAAAGCCAAGTGGCGCGAGATGAGGCCAGAGCGACATCCGGGAACCCGCCCAAGCCGCTGGCTGAATCCCACGAAAAGAAGAAAAGGGAACAGCTCCGTTCGTCTCACCGCATTACCGCACGCATCCCGAGAATTCGCCAACCATAATTGCAACACGCCCCTTACACAGTCCAAGATCACCAGTGAGAATCGATAACTACATTGAGTCGAGACCAACGCCACGCTCCTGTCGCCCAGAGAGGAGGCAGACAGACGAGCAGACGACGCAGGCTTCGTCTTTTTGGCACTCGTCTTGTGAGTGGGGAATAAACCACCTTCTTTTCGGCGGTCAGCATGAGCAGGCAGGCGACAAACACTCACTCGCGAGCCATCGGCCATTCAGTCCCGTTTCATCGCATCCGTGCGAACACTATCACCGTCCACTACGAGTGCCCGTTAGACTTGCGTTTGATCCGTACCCCAAATCCACCTCAGGGATGTCTCTTTTCTGACTGCGTCATGCATCACCGTCGCCCACGGCCGATCATCACCGCCGTCCGTACCAGAAGGGAGCTTGCTCTGTCGTCATCCCCCAAAGCCAAACTTCGCCGTGCATCCCCGAAACCACCCCGACGCCTGCAACGCTCCACAATCCAGAGTTGCTTCCGTGAACGGCTTCATCGCCATGATTTCTTCCTGTGCCACGCTCTTGCACCATCTCCCGACCCACAATATCAGCCGTCTATTGTATGCGCAAGCACCGCGCGGCCATCGCGAGAATTGAAAATGCCAAAGGTCCTACGCCGTCGCCAACGACAGGCTCTAGATGCAGTCCATCTACAACGATCGTTATTTCCTGGCCTCGGAGAGACAACATCCACCGTCTTTTCTCCTTTCAGCTACCGTTGATCGGCCATTGACCAAGGAACCATACTCCAGCAGGAATGCCATCGCATCAGCGGCAAGCTGCCGCCGACTGGAATGCGTTGCCATGTTTACAACGGCAGCAATGCCACAAACCTATATCAGGGGCTCGAGAAGTCTCGACAGCCGTGTTGAATGGATTAACTACTCACTACTCATTGTAAAGCGCGCAACATTCCAACATGCATTTCATCACCAAGATTCTTCAAGCGGGCGTCATCCTGCACGTCGCCTTCCAGGGCGCGTCCAGTGCCATCATGCGCGGCCGATCCGGCGAGATCGACTCGATCCAAGAGGCCCAGCTCTCGACCCGCGCGCTGACCGACCAACTGGAGGACCTCGACAACCAGTTGGGCGAGTTCTTGAGCAACTACAAGGGCGGCCATCTCAAGCCCGACGGGGACACCACCAGCATCTTGACCATTGCGACCGCCGACATCGAAAAGAGACAGAACCTCCAGATCTCCCAGCAAGCCCTCCAGGATCTCCTCAAGCTCATTCAGTCGATCGAGACGCAGATCTCCGCCATCATCGCGTCCGGCGGCAGCTCGCCGAGTGGCGGCGCCGTCCAGACCCCGGCCGTCACGGGAGGGAATCCGGCGCCCATCGCTACCCCCGGCCCCGTTCCCTCCCCGGTGCAGTCGGCCAATCCTCCCGTTTCCAACCTGTTCTCGGCCTCCAACCCCGTTGCACCCAACCCCGGGGCTACCAACCCGCCGGCAGCTTCCAACCCCGTGGCGTCTAACCCGTCGAACCCTGGAGCTACTAACAACCCTGGTGTAGGTCCTGTTGTCCCCGCCCCCTTTCTAACAAACTCAGGTGCAGGCGCAGGTGGTGCTGGAAACCCCATGACCACCGCATATGGAACAGCTACTACGACCGGTACGCGATGCAAGACGACCCTCACTCAGACGTTTACCGCTTACGTCTATGAAGATGGCAGTCCGGCAGGAGCCCCTGCCAAGGCACGTGACGTGCATTCCCACCATGACGACGCGGAGGACTCGGACCTTGATGGTCCTGAGGAGGATGTCGAAGTCGTCGAGGACGGCGCCGTGGAAGATGTCCAAAGTGCGGCCGAGTCGTGGAGGACCTTGACACGCCGTGAGTCGCGAAGGGGCCCCGAACGCTCCAATCTCCTCCTCATCCGTGAGGAAGGGGGTCTTTTTGAGAACTTGAACTAGCAAAGGGCGATGCTGAGACTAAGGTAAAATGCACCTGTCCGTCGGGAAGCGACTTCCAAAACCTAATTTGATGGCGCAGGAAATTCAACATTAAATCAGCCGGAGGTTAATGACGGGTTATGATGGACGAGAACGGATGAATCGGCAACGACCGCAATGATTATGACATTCATTTGATACGACACGCAACGACTAGACACACGACACACGACAACATGTTATAGAGTAGATGGATGGAGTGCCGAGGGGGAAAGGGCATCACGACGAATACATCTTCAACAGATGAGCATTCTTTATTCAAGCAGAGCACTCATTAATACAACGACTTGTCTTCTTATCTTTGGTTAACATCTTTCTATTGGTGATCTGGGTGAAACCTGTTAGTGTCTCAGCCACAATGCTCGGGTCCGTGTGCCACACATCCGTTCCGCGGCAATCGTCGGTGAAAAAAATGGGCCTTCTCCAAACTCAGAATGGAACTCGGCCGCCCCCAATCATCGCAGACACCAAAGTCAGCATCTCGACGGGCAACGACAACACTACAGAGCGGGACGGAACGACCGCCCAATTGTCTCTTGATTATATTCTCTTATCTCCAAAGCATCACTTTGAACATGCGTAACCAAGGGTCCGTACAGGGTTTATCTGGGGTAAGAAGGGCCAGAGAGCGGCTTATCATGGTCAAGATGGTCTCAAAAGGCCGTAAACAAGGGCGTGGCCGGCAGGATGAGTGTGGAACAATGTGTCGTTCACGCCCAAGTGACCCGTGTGACCAGAGATTAGGTTGATATGACAAACAGAAAATGGACGGGCGGCGGACGGGGGCTTCGTGTCATGTCTGGCCGGAGCGAGCAACCCCTCACGTAGAGGCCGGAATTGTTCCTCGTGAGGCCGGTTCTGTTCCGGCCATTTACTATATCACGGCGCCGAGTGGCGGAAAGTCCCAACCATCTGAACTTGGAACTCTCACTCCTCACAACGCCTACACACAGAAGGCTCTCCTTACTTCAGCAGGATTTCCCTGAGATTTTTTTGCCAATTTTTTCGGGTTTCTTTACATACCCATCACTTATACCCCCTCTCCCAAGCCGTATAAGTCGACTTACACGGACGTTCTCATACAATACACCCAATACGCACGCACTCAATACCCATTACACACCATCGTCATCTCATAACCCACACAACCCACCCACACCCAACACATCCCTACTTTCACTTACACACGATACTCATCCACCCCACGTTTACCCCGGCAGTTCATCACACAATGGGTTCTCTTGACTCCACCCCGTTCCCCGTCCTGGACGACACCCGGCCGGAGGACAACTCCCTCCCCGCCTTCATGGTCTCCACCACCCGCGGCTTCTTGCCCCGTGCGGATCCCGTCGCCGTGCTGCCGGCCGAGTTCCAGCCCCTTGAAGACATCTTGGCCAACATGCCTGTGAAGAAGCTTGACGGCACTCCGGGTTACTTGGCTTCATCCAAGCTGGGTGACGTTGTCGAGAAGGAGTTCCCCAATCTCACAGAGCACATTGACAAGTACAAGGAGAACCTGCCCCTGATGAACGCTCTCTACCGCGACTACTCTTTCCTTGCCTCTGCTTATCTGCTCGAGCCCTGCCATGAGCGTTTCGTCAGAGGCGAAGGGTACGGTCTTGGTCGTCAGGTTCTCCCCAAGAACATCTCTCTACCCATCGCTCGTTGCGCCGAGATGTAAGTTTCTTTCATCCACCCTCTCTCTTCTTCTTCGCTATTCCTATGCATTCACGTGTCCTAACAACCATCCAGCACCGGCTTCAAGCCTTGGATGGAGTACGCCGGCTCGTATGCCCTCTACAACTACCGTCTCGCCGACCCTGCCAAGGGCATGGACTACGACAACATCCGCCTCATCCGCGCCTTCGAGCACGGCCTGGACCCCAAGTCCTCCGAGGCGGGCTTCGTCCTCGTCCACATCGACATGGTTAAGAACACGGGTCCCCTCGTCAAGGGCACCGTGGCCGCGCTCCGCTGCACGTCCCGCGCCGGCTCCGTCGACCGCGCCTCCCTCAACCAGGGGCTCTCCGAGGTCCTCGCCTCGCTGCGCAAGATCAACCACACCATGGAGACCATGTGGGACAAGTCGCGCCCGCAGAGCTACACCTCCTTCCGCACCTTCATCTTCGGCATCACCAGCCAGAGCATGTTCCCCAACGGCGTCGTCTACGAGGGCGTCAACAACGACGAGCCCATGTCCTTCCGCGGCGAGTCCGGCGCCAACGACTCCATCGTGCCCCTCATGGACAACCTCCTCCAGGTCCCCATGCCCGACACCCCTCTCACCGAGATCCTCAAGGACTTCCGCTCCTACCGCCCCAGCAACCACCGCCAGTTCCTCCTGCACGTCAAGGACCGCTCGCTCGAGCTCGGCCTCAAGGACGCCGCGCTCGCCGGCAAGACGCCCGCCGCCGCGCTCGCCAACGACGACGAGGTCGAGGCCCTCAAGCAGACCCGCCGCCTGTGGCTGCTGATCCTCCACCAGGTGCGCGACTTCCGCTGGCGCCACTGGTGCTTCGCGCGCGAGTACATCCTCAAGCGCACCAGCCACCCGACGGCCACCGGCGGTAGCCCCATCGTCACCTGGCTGCCCAACCAGCTCGAGGCCGTGCTGTCCGAGATGGAGAACCTCTACACGGAGCTCGGCGGGCGCGAGGGCGAGTGGGACCTCGGCGAGGAGATGCGGGACGTCATGGACCTCGTGTCGCGGCAGAAGGAGACGCTGAGAAAGGAGGTGTCCAAGTACTGCGCGGAGAGGGGCGTCAATCCTCACACTGCTTGAAGGAGGTGTTAGGTCCGTACAACAAAAAAGAAGTGTTGCTGATAACGAGTTTGGTTTTTTCTGGTTTCTATCGGCTTTCACCCGCATTCAAGCGTCGCGGTGTGGTGGCACATGGTCTGACATGCAAACATGTAATTCAAAATCTATTATCAAAGAATTTGCTGATGCATTTGGCGCTATGCTGTCATGTGATGATACCATGCGGGCGCGCTAAAACAATTAAAAAAGATGACATGAACACTTCCCTCTTTTTAGGGACGGCTGCTGATTTACTTGTTCAGCGCCCTGTCCATATCTTTCCTCCATTCCGGAGCTTTCTTCCTGAGCACCCAGACACACAGATAACCCGTAATCCACGTGAAAATGCCCAGGATCGTAAACAGCCACCCGTTCCCGATGGCATTGATTACGGGCTGCGCAGCGATGGCTCCGATGCACGAGAAGATGTTGCGCACAAAGTTGTTGACCGCCACCCCTCCCGAGCTGCGCTTGGGCATGAACTCCGTTAGCATGGTAGTGGCGGCGCCGCTAGGGAAAGAAGTGATATTAGCCAAAGTTGAACTGATAAGAAGGCATCGCCAGTATTAAAACGACAGGCGAAGGGGACAAAGACTTACAACACCAGCATCGAGCTGATCCCAAAGAAGAAAAGACCGATACACGGCACAAACCAGAAAAGACCCTTCTGGACCACCCAGCCGTAGAAGATGAGAGCAGCGGGATACACCGTCGCGGCGATCCACGCGTTCTCGCGCATCCTGTCCTCGGGGAGCATGATGAGCTTGCCGCTGGCGTCGTAGCGGCCCGCCTTCTTGGCCTCCCTCGCCATGATGTGGTCGAGCCAGCGGCCGCCGAGGATCGAGGCGATGAAGTAGCCCAGGCCCGCGGGGAAGTAGAACAGGCCGATGATGAGCACGCTGAAGCCGTAGGGCTCCTTGGAGAAGGTCGACTGCACCGAGATGTTGACGACGAAGAGCGCGCCAAAGGTGATGGCCGCGAAGGCCACCGTGATGATCACCGGCGGGAAGCGCAGGTACAGCAGCACGGAGAGCGGGTCGAGGAAGAACTTCTTCAGCAGCGCGCCCGCCTTCTTGGTGTGCACCTTGACCGATTCGGTCGTCTTGGTGCGTGAGAGAGCGTTCTTCTCGCCTTGGGCAGCGGCAGCCGGGGGGAGTGCGGGCTTCGGCTTCGCCAGGGTCTCGGGCAGGCAGAACAGGATCATGATGAGCACGAGGCCGCCGTAGATGGCGAGCGCCCACATGGTGGACTGCCAGCCGAAGCGCTGCGACAGGGCGCCGCCGATGATGGGGGCGAGGAGCGGGCCGCACAGGGGCCCGAGGTAGAAGATGGACATGCCGCGGCCGCGCTCGCGGGGTTCCCAGATGTCGGCGATGGTGCCGGCGCCGACGGCCTGGACGGAGGCGCTCGCGCCGCCGCCGAGGAGGCGCATCACGATGAGCATCTCGATGTTGACGCTGATCGCGCTGAGGACGGAGAAGACGACGAAGAGGGCGAAGGAGATTAGGTAGATTGTGCGGCGGCCGAGGGTTTCTGAAAAGGAGGACCACCAGAGGGGGAAGATGGCCATGGCGAGCATGTAGAATGCCACCGATAAGTTGGTGACTGTGGCCGAAACACCAAACTCCTCCGACATTTGACCCAAGGCCGCTTTTTTTGGTCATACCGTGTTAGTGAAATTGTGTCATTGGCATTGGTTACTTTTGGAATGAGCAAGCTTACGATAAAAGATGGACGAGCCCATGGGGGACACGGCAGCGGCCAGAGCAATGATCAACGTGATTGTCCATTTTGTCTTGTTTGTGTAGTCATACGGACGGTCTACCTCCGGGATGATGGCGAGCTGGCCGAAAAGGCCTCTCCGTTTTGATCGGGGCACGATTGACAGAGCACGGGAGCGGGTGGAGGAGGCCCGGGACCGAGTCCTGGTGGCCGGGGCGGCGGCGGCTGATGGGTACGCATCCAGCGCCGGCTCCGGCGACTCGCGCGATCCGTCATCAATATTCCGGCCAATTTCTGTGATTTCATCTTCGCTATCGCTTGACTGGCTCTGCTCCTCCCTCTGCTCAGAAGCTGTTTCCGGCGGAAAAGGATCCTTTTCCGGGTCTCGTGACGAGGCAGTCATTGTGTGGTTTTTTTGTTTGCCGAGTCGGCGCCGAGG